CCGTCCACACCGTCCGAGACAGAGACGCCGATACCCGAATGGAACGTGCTCTATACCACCACCGCGCCTGCCACCACGCCGGGCGGCTTTGCATCCTCCATCACCGTGCGCGCGCATCCCGACCCCAACCGCTACCTCTTCAGCGTGCAGTCCGTGCTTCCCGGCATCACCGCCCGCCAGTTCTGGTCGCTCATGGCCAGCGCAGAGAACCGCAAGCTCTGGGACAACACCGTCGAGGAAGGGGCGGTCAAAAGGTGGCTGGCGCGCGAACCGCGCCCCTCCGCGCCAGACGCCGACGCCGCATCAGCGTCCAGCGAGACCGCACAGGCTGTAGCCGCACGAGTCGAGCTGCTGCGCTTCGGCAGCATCTTTATGGTCGCCAAGGCGCGCGACATGGTTCTGCTCAGCGTCGATGCTCGCCTGCCCTCCAAGCCGCGCTCGGAAGCAGCGTCGGCGCCGCTCCGACTCGTCTCCACCTCGCAGAGCATCGTCGACCCCAGCCTACCGGCGCGCAAGGGCTACACGCGCTTCGAGCTGCGCACGGGCGGGTTCATGGTGGAGGATCTCGGCGACGACGGCGTGCCGGACTCGTACGCATCCGCCCACCCGTCCGAGCTGGGCAAAAGCCCCTCGTCGGCCACATCCGCCAAGGGCTCGCATCTGCGCAAGGGTCTGCTCGCACTCGGTCGCAGAGGCAGGTCCAACTCGGGCAGCAGTTCGGGCAGCAGGCATGTCCGAGATGCCTCGGACACCGCCGAGGCGCACGCGACGCCCACGCCCACGCCCATCCGCGATGCGCGCGGACCGGCGGTGAGGATCACCCAGGTCTCCGACCTCGGCGAGATGGCAGCGTGGGTGCCGGCGTCGGTGATCAAGATGGTCGCATCCACGCTCGTGCCTCGCAGCATCGCGTCGGTGGCCAAGGTCGCCAAGACCATGCCCGTGTCGCCCGCGCTGTACAGAGACTACTACCCGGGGCCCTCGAACGAGGCGGTGGCGTCGGATCAGCTCGGACAGGGCGGTGCCACCTGGTACAGGCATCGCACGCTGCCGGTCATGGTGGGCGAAGGATGCCTCGGC